TTACAGGCTGAGCCACCGAGCCCGGCTGATTTTTTTTTTTTTTGAGCTGGAGTCTCACTCCGTCACCCAGGCTGGAGTGTCGCGGCACACTCAGCCACCCGAGCGTCGGCCTGCTGGGCTCCGGCGATCCTTCTGCCTCAGCCTTCCAAGTAGCCAGAACTGCAGGCGCGCGCTACCACGCCTGGCTAGTTTTTGATTCAATGTAGAGATGAGGTCTCGCCAAGTTGCCTGGACTAGTCTTGAACCCACAGCCTCAGGCAATCCACTTGCCTCCCCCCCCCCCCGCAAAGTGCTGGGATGACAGGCTGAGCCACTGAGCCTGGCCAGAGCGTCCTGATTTTAACGGTAACAACAAGTCTCCTTTTCCACAAATAAGAGATGCCCAGGCCAGTCCGCCCTCGGCCCCACTTGAGATCCTGGCCAGTTGCTCCCACACCAGGAAGGGTATTCGAGGCCATGGTGGGCGCTGGGGGTCCCCAGGTCACTTGCAAAGAGGGTGGACCCGGCGCCTCTCTGGGCCCAAGGACCAGTCCCACTGTCCCTCAGGTCAGCCTCGGTGGGCTTGGGCTGCTCTTGGGAGACCCACCAAAGCAGCCTGACCGCTGACCCCAGCTGGGAGGGGACAGGCCCCGGACTCTACCCCACCAGGGGCACCACTTCCCGCGAGCTGATGGGGCGAGGTCAGCGACCTCAGAGTTGGTGGCAGGTTTCCAGGAGGGCTGGGGCAGCCCCAGGGCAGAGGCAGTGGCTGGACACCATCAGTGACCATGTCCGCTAGGCCGGGGGATGGAGACAGGGTAGGGATGGGGAGGCCCTCAGCCTTGGCCAGCTGGGCCCCTGGCTCTGTCCAGACCCAGCGAGATGGCGCGCAGAGGCCGGAGGGGCCTTGTGTGCCGTGGCCAGACCTGAGGCCCGCTGAGGGTGAGGCCCCTGGGGATGCCCACGCATGACACCACCGACTCACAGCGCCGGGGCCACACTGCTGCCTCTGCTCCTACAGTCACGCACGTGACTCACTGTCCCTCCGAACGACACCACTGCCTGCGACAGCCACCGCTCGGGCCTCCTCTGACGTCCCACGACACACGCTTGTCCGCGGCTGGGATCCCCAACGCCAAGACGCCCCAAGCTTCTTGCGAAAATAGGGCCAGAGCCAGCCTGAACCAAGACTGGGGTTTTCCCTTTCTAGAGACAGGGTCTCGCTCTGTGGCCCCGGCTGGAGGGCCGGGGCGCAACCACAGCTCTCTGCAGCCTCCACCTCCTGGCCTCAAGCCACCCTCCCTCCTCAGCCTCCCGAGCAGCTGGGACCACAGATGCCACCATGCCCGGCTAATTCTCTTTTATGTTTTATAGACCCTTGTCTCGCTCTGTCGCCCAGGCGGGTCTCAAATCCCTGGGCTCAAGGGATCTTCCTGCCTCAGCCTCCCTGAGTGCTGGGGTGACAGGCGTGAGCGGCCGCGCCCGGCCCCGGGGGTCCTTTGCCGTCGGTCCCCTCCTGCCTGGTGTGCCCTGTGTCTGTCGGGCTGCGTGACGCGTGTGGCCACCGGGCTGCGTGGACCCCGCGGGGTGTGCGCCTCGCACGCTGGAATCCCAGCGCCGTGAGTCTCTGTCCTGGCCCCTCGCGGCCGGCTCCAAGTGCCACAGACAGAGGCCTAAGCCCCAAGACCTCCACTAGCAGAGGCCACACGAGCGCCCACCCCACTCACCGGGCCAGGCTGCTGGCTGGCCGGGTCGCAGGCCAGCGAGACGAGATCTTTGAGCGGGTCCTGGGGGTTGAGATGAGGCGGGTAGCGGATGGCCGTGTGAGGGAAGTAGGTGGAGGCCGTCTGGGGCAGGATGGACGTCGTGGGAAAGTGCAGGGCCGAGGACGGGTGAGGACTCCGGGCGATCCCTGCGGAGAGAGCGGACGCGTCGCGCTGGCGGTGTTCGTGTCTGGGGCTGTGGCTCCGCCCGTCCTGGCGGGTTTTTTGCTTTTTATGTTCTTAACGTAGAGAAGGAGCTTTGTTACGTTGCCCCAGCTGGGCTCGAACTCCTGGACTCAGGCAATCCTCCCACCTCAGCCTCCTGCGTAGCTGGGATGACAAGCGTATGCCACCACACCTGGCCCCTTTTTTTATTTTTTATTTTGTAGAGACGAGGTCTCACTATGTCGCCCCGGCCGGTCTCAAGCTTCTAGGCTTAAGCCATCCTCCCTCCTTGGCCTCCCAAGGTGCTGGGATGACAGGCATGGGCCACCGCACCCGGTCCATGTTGTTGCATTTAATAATAATAGTAATGCTAGGCTGGATGCGGTGGCTCATGCCTATAATTCCAGCACTTTGGAAGGCCGAGGTGAGAGGACTGCCTGAGCCAGGGGTTCGAGACCAGCATGGGCAACTTGGCGAGACCTCGTCTCTATCACAAAACAAAAAATTAGCGGGGTGTAGTGGCACGTGCCTGTAGTTCCAGCTACTTAGAAGGCTGCGGCGGAGGGATCGCCTGAGCCAGCAAGTTGAGGCTGCGGTGGCCGTAAGCAGGCCACGGCCTTCCAGCCTGGGCGACAGAGTGAGACTCTGACTTGACTCAAAAAAACAAAAAATAGTAATGCTAATAATAATAGCAACAACCATGAGGAACCCGGCAGCACTGACCACAGGCCTTTCTGTCACTTGTACCCCAAGTTCCCTGACGCCCATGGTAACCCCTTGGGGCTCCTGCATTTAGGCCTGTCTTGTTTCTGTAACTAGAGGAGGACACAGTGGTCCTCAGAGGACATGTCACCTGCCCCAGGCCGCACAGCAAGCCGGTGGCAGACCCAGATCCGAGCCCAGGCGTCCGGTCCACAGTCCACCCTATGACCCAGGGCCCAGCACGCTCGTCCCCGAAGGGCCAGAGGGTGGACAGCTTTAAAAACTGAGACAAGATTCGCAAGCCATGAAACTCGCCGTTAGGGTGTCCGATTCAGGAGGCTTTGGTATCCTCACAAAGTTGTGCGACCATCACCCGTATCTAACTCTAGAACATTCTGTCACTGCACAGAGAAGCCCTGTCCCCATCCGCCGTCACTCCCCACCCTTCTCCAGCCCCCGACACCCACGAATTCACATCCTGGCTCTGTGGACTGGTCTGTTGTGGACATTTTGCGGAAATGGAGTCACACACGGTGTGTCCTTGGGTGTCTGGGTCTCTCACTGGGCATGACGTCCCCAGGGTCCATCCCTGCCATGGGACTGTCACGAGCCTCTGCCCTTTCTGTGGCTGGGACGTGTCCATGGCACCACGGGCTTGCTCCTTTTCCAGAGCTTTGGGGGGCTTTCAGCACGTTCCCTGTCTGTCCCCGTCACCCCCTCTCCCGGGTCCCCAAGTAGGTGGGGGTATTTCTCTACCGCAATGACTCAGTCCTGACCCTGCAGCGTCGACGCAGTCACAGGCCACGTACGAATGGATGGTCGTGGCCGTGTACCAACAAAACTTTATAAGAAAGGGCTCGGTGGCTCAGCCCGTAATCCCAGTGCTTTGGGAGGCTGAGGCGAGTGGATGGCCTGAGCCCGCGGGTTCGAGACCCGCCTGGGCAGCGAGACCTCATCT